CAGATCAATTTGCATACCAAAAACGAACGTTATATTGTTATCAGGACGCCAAATAACCCCATGTGGAGGTAAACTGAATTTCGTGAAAACAGGGTGTGACAAAATGGTGCCAACTGGCGCGACCGTTAAAAATTGATGTCATTTTCGTAATCATGGCATCGAATGACCCATATGGGCAATGTTTTTTTTTCGAAAATTATATTTGATTTTGGGTTTGTAATAGTTGATTAGTACAGATTTTCGACTTTTATCCTAGGTCCGATACTCGTTCCATTCGAATCTTGTGGTAGTTTTTTTTCTTGAATTATTCTCACCGGTGTACTTGCTGCTGCATAGTGTTATTTCAGCTATCGATCGAGAAAAGTTTGATGATGCGCAGATCTTCTACGAACGCTTGAGAGCTGAATTTCCTGATGAAATGGGTCCATGGGCACAACAAGGCATTCGACTATTAATTAGTGAGCTTCGAAGACCGGCTTCACGAATCGGTTCTGCAGGACCGCATATCAGGGCTCAGTAAAACACGAAAGATCTTATAATGCAGATGTTTTTCCAAAGATTCGTCAATCTCTTAGCAACCGCCTTAAAGACTTCATCCTTGTAATAGTTGATATGTCTTGATAATTTCGGGTAGGCTGAAAATACACGTACTTCCCAATTTATACATAACATCAAATCTAAGTCTCTATTTCAAACTAAATAGCTAAGAAGTAAATGTTTTGCTACCCATTAGCCTTACAATTATAAAAGCATTACATAGCTCCTAGAGTAATTCTGACTAACATATAGTCGTAACTTTATTTAACGATATACGCAAGAAAATCGGAAAAAGCATTTCGGAACAGGTTATATTCTAATGTTGGGCTAAATAGGTTTAAGTGTTCCATTTCGTCGTAGAAAGCCTCTGAATCTGCGAATTTAAACTGCTCCGGGGACCGTATGCATCATTGCATGTATGCAGCCTTGTAAATGTTGAGATTGCCGCGAGTAGACTACAAGAATTAGTTTTTAGCTTCTATATAAAATCGTTTTATGGTTTTATTTTATTGGTTGATTTTCCTGATTGTGTTCTAATTATCCAATTATCTAACGATGATTGATATTTTAATGACGTCACATTGTCTCGCCTAATTGAGAAGTCTGGCATGTTTCGTGCTGTTATTTTGTTATTATGTTTATTTCGGAATGCATTCGTACAATATTCCTGTCCGCTGAAATTCCATAGTTTTATAAATTTCATTTGTCATTGCATTTCGCCTATATCGTTTGCATATCTCCATTACCACCCTATTTTCAGTACCTATCGAGGCTGTGATTGCCGTGGCTGGAAGCGGTGCGGTTTTGATGACGTCACAGAAGAGTGAGAGACGATCCTATTACACTCCAACGCACCGGGCTTTTCCATGACGTCATCAAAACTGCCCCGCCCAGCTATCGTGGTCACTGTTCCTCGAGCGCTCAATGAAAAATTAACCCTCTACATAGGCGCGATCACCCCGCTTACCATAGGTGTGTGTTGTCGTATCCGATTTTGATTATTTGTGTAGTATACGAAATATGTTTTGTAAAACGGTTTCTTACGCTGTACTCGTGGCCATTTTCAGTGAATGTTAACAATAATTAACTATTACTGTGTTTATTTTGTATATTTACTATTTACATTTCACATGTTGGACATATCTTACAAGTTCTTTGTCGAGTCATTTGAGGATTTTTATGTCTGATTTGTAATATTGTGATACGAAACAATTACTAACATTTACGGTATTGTGTAGCAAGACTTCTCACATGGTCTAACCCAATTGAGTTGTTAGGTAGTAAATTTATGAGTTGACTCGTGAAATCAGCAGAATGTGATCCACGTGGCTCTGATGCTTTTTTATTTTGCAGATGTTCTCTCGTGGGGTAGATTTTACTTTTGGTTTTTGTAATTTGGTGAATATGTTATTCATTGGAATGAATGGTTGGATCGGTTTAACATCTCATTCATCGTCGAGCCTATCGTTTAGCAACGAAATACTTTTGCCAAATCAGTTTCCTGTCGAAGTACTTGCCGTAATTGCGGACTCAGTGGCACCTATAGCAACGGCCTGGGAGGAGAGGTTCCCAGGCGTCCGTCAGCGAAAGGCTGAGAGGGTAGATGAGCATAGGCTTTGTGGTAAGGTGGTAAGACTAAGCCTTTTGAAGTAAACGAATAATGAAAGCAGTGACTCTGTGTCGGTATCACGGTTGACAGGAATTCGGGGACACTTGGAAAAACCGATAGGGTGTGTTCTTTATGGTGCTTTTGATGGTGTGACGTATTTCTAGGAACGACAAGTCCGGCCGCCTACAGTCTCCAACCTCTCTTCCCCCTCCCACACTTCTGAACATCTCTCCCATTTTTCATCTCTTTTTCTGCATCTACCCTCCCATCTTTTGGCTCTACTTCAATTCTTGGGAAGCCGAGGCCTAATTGTATTGAAATCCTCAAAAAATGTTAGGTTGCTAGTAATGAATTCAGGGCAATTTGAGTACTTTCTCAGAAACGCAGGTGTATGTATAAGAGGGCACGTCACTGAAACGAGTTCCCTTTGCACCCACCAATGAGTAATATGATTGAGCTCTTAATGATTGTCTTCTAGTAGTTTTCATAGGATTTGAGGGGGTCGTCGAAATTGGTCAGCTGGGACTTGATCTTGCACGGGCGTCCTCCACACTACTCTCTCACAATTCACATAAACATTTTTAAAAAGTATTTCTGGGGAATCTACACATCAGTTTTTGCTTGTCATTTCCATTCTTTATACTTATTCCATATGTTTTGCTTGACAGATGTTCTTGACACGTGCATTGCGTGGTAATTTGAATCTACCACATTGGAATCGTCGAGTATGGGAAATTGGCTACAGTGGTCCTCCTCTGCCGAAAAGGAAGGCGTGAGTTTTTATCATTTTTGGCTGGTTTTGTCTGTCTGAAATCTAGGGGAGTGGTTCGCTAAGACAGAAAGCGAGTTTTCCGCTTTTGCAGTGCGAAATTTTTTTCGCTGCGGGACCCCAGGTCCGCTACTGATCAAGAGTGGACGTGGGGTTCGAGAAAGTTTCGCGTGCGAAAAGCGGTAAAGTCGCTTCCTATCCTAGCGAACCACACCCTCAAATCCGTACGGAATCAATGCTTCTGGAAGCACATCACTCACGTCAGCTGCAAGGGATCGGTATTACGGTCAAATCCTCGAGCCTACTTATAAACCTGTCTTCAGTGTGCCGTCTCCATAGCACAGGGCTTTGTCATAAATTAGTAGTGAAGTGAAGCAATCCGCGTTGCCATTGAGTGAAACTTTGAATGGGTTCATGGTGGTGTAAAATCTCCCACAACCTTCCTTTCTTGAGATCGGCGATATGTGTGCATAGAGC